AGAGAGAGAGGGGGGGGGGGAGAGAGAGAGAGATATCTCGGTAAAGAATTCTTAGTAGTCCTTATCTCTTCAGCCTGCCCTTTCCACTTATCTGTAAATGACTTTAGAGATTTGCTGCAAGCTCTCGACCCAACACGTGGAAGGCCTGGAGAGACAAAATCTGCCTTCTTGATTCTGCTTCGCGTTTATGAGGCCAGCTGCTTATCCTCCGTTTCTAGTCTAGTTAATTCTGTCCTGCTACTCGAGGAAGGAGATAGTGGCACAGACTGCACACAGGTCATTGAAAAGCCTCAGGGAGGAGTCCTGTAAGTCTAAGCCCAGGGCAACAGAAGGGTGGTCTGTCTCAAAAGCAGGAGGACAGCTGCGGCTCACGTGACCTCCTACAGGCGCTGTGGTCCCTCAGGCATCAGGGCGTGATTTCTCAGGACAGCTATTGGCTGAGAGGTGGGGCTGGCGGCGTCCGCACGGAAGAAGGGCGATGCGGGGGCGTGTCAAGATGGGCCGCAGACGCTTCCGATTGGTTGGCAGCATGTCGGTCGGGGCGTGTCCTCCACAAACTACGGGCGGGTGGGGCTGGAAGCTACGGGAGTCCAGGGTAGCTTCCTACCGTGCACCTGAGAGCTGACGCCCCTAGTCGTCGAGGCTGCGCTCGCTCTGTCCCAGCCGCCATGAACCGCTTCAAGGTGTCCAAGTTTCGGCACATGGAGGCCCGGCCGTCCCGCCGAGAGGTGAGCCTGGACCGCGGACCCCGATCCCTCGCTCTTGGTCCCAGATGCCTGCCATCCTCTAGTGCGAGCCAGAGCACTGCACACCCCTGGGCTGCGGAGACCCTCTACCCCGCCCCTCCCCGCCCCCGAGCTTTCCACCCGGAACCGCTCCCTTCAGCTGAGCCCCATAGTCCAGGCCGCCCCTTCACTGCCTAGAGGACAGAGTCCGGAGCTCTAGTGACGCGCCCTGGCCACTGGGTGATCCCGGTAGGCCTGGCCAGTTTCCCTTGCCCTGGGACCCCCAGGAGGCCTCGCAGCCCTCCCAGCCGCGTCCAGGCCTCTGCTTCCGGTCGGCCTTGCTGGGAGCCGGGCTGGGAAACTGCAGACTTGGGCTTCTCTTTCCTGATGTCTAGGATCGTCCCTGCCTGGGGCTGGCCTATGTGGAGATGCACCCTTTTCTTGTCTCGGGGAGAGTGAGGGTGTCATCTGGGGAGGGAGCCCCTTGGCCAGGCAGGCTTCCTTCCTTGGGTTTCCGCCGGCTCTTCCTCCTCTGCTGGTGCAAGCTCTTCTCTTAACTAGGGTGATGCTACTAGTAGCGGTTAGGGCCTGGTGAAGCTAGAGCAGGTAGAGCCTAAAGGAAGTGTCGAGGACAGCATGCCTGTTGAGTTTTCTTCAGAGACCATGCTGGCCCGGGCCTATCTCCCTATTATTTGGAAAGCCTGGACTATCTTCGGATAATTGGGCTTAGGAATTGACCTCTAGTGACCGTCGGTGGCCCAAAGCAAGTTATGACAGCCCTTCTCCGTTTCCTTCTCTGGACAGTATCCTCTCCTTGCCTACTGTGTGCTGCCCAGCTTCATGAGCTTGGGCAGTGAATTATGGCATTTCCCCTCCCCTGTGGCACTTAACAGCCTCAGGAGGAAGATGGCCAGCAAGCACACTATACTGCGTTGAAGAACACCCCGGGGTGTGTGGGTGTGCTGTATGATGTGAAGTGCTGAAGTCGGGGTTCTCACCATTGTGGAGAATGCTGCCTGGGAGGTGGATTGCAGCTGAGGCCAGAAGGGTAAGAAGTAAGAAAAAGCCCAGTGAGAAAATAGAAAGT